TGATATAATTATAATCAATAAAAACACTTATAATAAAAACCGCACAAAAATTATCAACATCGTTGATTAAGTTCAAAATTTATATTAAAAACAAAACCAAGTTGTTAGCGATAACAATAATAATAACACTACCAAAATGGTACTGCTGGTATTGTTGCTATCGTTAATATTGTTTGATTCAGAATAATAATAACTAATATTTAATATTTTAGTCAGTGATTAATAACAAATAAATAATAGCATAGAGCTTGCTTGGCAGATATTATCTCGCCTTTGTTCTGATTTAGCAAAGAATAAGTCTGTTGTAGACGAAGAAAGAGAAGGTTGATTACTAAATTAACAATTAAAAACTGTGTTAGCAAATTGTAGATAAGCGCGCTTTGTAATAACATTAGTACTGGGTCAGTATCGGTTCGTCTTACTAACATACCCCATGTTACGCAAAAACAAAAGAGGACAACTATCGTTATGAATAATACGTGTTTGATTACAGTTCGTGTATAGCAAAAGTTTTAAATGCGTAGTGAATTCTGTATCAGCATTTGCTTAATGTTGAGAAACGATCGTTGCATTGAACCGTGAGAACCGGTTATTTTATTAATACATGCAGTACTGCAGATATTCCAGAAGAAAACTCGTTTGTAACATTTTTGTTGAATGGTCAACAAAGACAGACATGTTGCAATCAAAATTCTGTTATTGTTAATTATGGTTAAATATACAGTGCTCTAATACTAATGTAATAACAACTTCCATTTTTGAAAGCGACAAACAATAGTTTATGCGGATGCAAGCTTCATTATGCCGTAATGTAAGCCACTCCGTTTTTGAAAGCAACAAACAATAGCTGATGCAAACGTAAGCTTTCATTACATATGACAAGCACCAGTCGCTGAAAAGCCGCTTTGTCAAAAATAGCAAGTGCGGCTGACTAGTGATGGATTAAATATTAATGGTAGCACATAAATCATATTCACATGTTACAAGCTTTTTTACAAGTGTATTTAACTGATTGGTCGGTCAAGAAATCCATTGTGAATGCCATTTGATCCCAACATTTGATATCAGCCAACCATCCGGTGTCATAAATCGCAAAGCTCAGGGTCTGTACTACAGTTGGTGTGACCACATTACGAGTAGATATTGGAGGAAGGCAGCTAATAATAATTTTATATCACTGTATTATAGTTCTGTTGTATGCGTATATTTTTGTTAGCTGGGGCAAAATGGGCGTTAATCTTTCATCTCATGCATAATGCATAACAAAGAATAACGAAGCGGCACGCCCAATGTTTGTTCGTTGAACATCTGGTTTTCTTACCACCCGGCCAAATAGCGTAACAAAAAAGTGTAGTTTTAAGAACACTTGTGTGCATACTCTAGCTACATGGCATTATTGACCATTACGCAAGCAGCCAACGGATAAATTACAGCGATGATAAACCATCATTATTATTCGTTTACTGTAAGATTATAAAGTCCGTATACAATACTATAAGGACTTTCAAACCATCTCACGTCTTTGTATCGACCCGCAGCAATGCAACTTATTCATGAGCATGATTATGCAGCCATCGACACCATATTAATGGATATATGAAAAAGTCTCTACTGTTATCAAATTAGGAACTCGTCTAAATTAAGTATAAACGACGGACATTTACATCCGCAGCCAGATGTAACGTAGTAGCAGTAGTAGATTAGCAGAACATTGGCATCCGGAGAAAACGAATAACTTAAGTAAATAGCAAATTATTGTATAGTGCTAAAAGGTTTTATTCTTTATACGATCCAGAGCTAGCATTCATTCTCGTAGCAATACAAAATGCATTATATGATTTTTTGTGGATGCAAATGGTCAATTGTAATTGTTATCAATACCTCCAGCCAGGAAACTTGTATGTGTAAGTATACTCAGTTTGTTTTATTAATAATAATGAACTCTGAGTCTACAACTGACACGAAATGTTATAAACTAAAATTTGTGACTTTTGGTAAGCTCACTCGCTGTTTTGTTACGCGAGCAACATCGAGTGTTCGATGAGAATAAATAACCAAAAATAGTTGATGTCAAGATTGGTAAGAAGACACAAGTTTATAAAAAAAACTATACATAACAATCTGACTATACCTCGTTTAACAAAAAGATCTCCTGTTATATTTTCATCTATACCTCGTCGTCAGTCGCTAACGTTACATTTATCCACAATGCGTTCTCTTTCATCTTCCACCTACAGTACGACAAATGATTGCAAAATTGCGTTTGCTTTTACCACGTTAATATACCTTTACCTATTGTCCAAAATATTCTATTTACCTGAAAACACCAAATGATTGAGAAATAGCATGACACAACTTGATTACGAGATACATGAATATTGTAAGATATAACACAATATATGCATAATATTCTATAGAGTTTGCGCAACAAAAAGGATAGCGAAAAATACTCTACATAAAAAATTTCAATAAGAATGAGCCAAATAAGTCGGACAGCGATTCTTTTCATCGGTCTGTTTAGGGCATCTAAAACTCATCTTGACATTTCTGAGAAAGTCAAATGTAATATACGAGGAGATGTGAAAACAAGCAATTAAACAGATGACAAAACGGTAAGGACAATTAATAATAAAACTCGAGATGGTTATAATATGGTCTGTATTTTACTTACATAACCCTGCAGTTCGCGGTTGGGTAATGTGACATGACAGTATTCTGATCTGTATCACCATCAAGCCGCAGCTTCCGTACGTGTATATAAACAGCGCGGCGATATGACTAAACAGAAACAAAAACGAGCTATTTATTAACTATATACGCTGCGCCAAATTTAATAACACATCCCTCACTTTCAAGCCAATACAAAACTCGTTACATAACATCCTATTATAATGCTTTCCGTCACTGATTTTCTCGAACAATTAACCACTGCGTCTGATAAACGTCGGATGAACAACCCTCCGACTCCGTTACATCTCCCCGTCCACGAGTTAATCGCACCGTCAAAGCGCGCCACCAGGTTACTACCAATTTACGAAATCTGGAGGCGAAACTACGTCGCCAGCCATAAAAACGGTAAACCAAATTACCGTAGACTAAGCAGCCTGGCTTCAAGGATTTGGCTTGACGAAGGTCCTGCTGTCAGGGCGTATTTTGTTTTTCTGCAACAATTGATGAGGCGATATCTGGATATTGCTCACAACAGAAGCGGTTAGATAGCTTACTCCATATTGTTCTTAGTAATTTATATTATTGTACTCGTTACTAAAGTCAACTTGTTTTAATTTCGTAGAAATCATCTACGATATAAATATGCCCACCAGCAAGGATTCCTGTCAATATGGCAGATAAAGAAGAATGTAACGATTTACTTACTTGGTGCATTAAAACTTTAGGAGAATAAGCGTAGTTGAATAATAATACTAAACATTTAGCCTTTACAATAATAAATGCATTTATTTGGTTTGGCTATGTTTATAGTACGTCCTTAAGTGATTGGTAAAAATTTTTTGAGTTTATTACAAGCATTAGTACAGTACTAACATTGCTAAGCGAGAATGGAAGAAAAATTACATGTAGACAGCTTATTATATATCGCTTGTGCGCAACGGTTACATGCTATTACCAAAATGGAACCAGTTCGTTACGCGATTTCTACAAAGCGAATTGCAGTCTCTATATTCTCCTGTATGTACGCATTGCACCCAAATTTTCAGTACATTTCTAGTATATTATCTAATAGAAACATGTCCATTAAGAGCTATTTGCGATTAAAATTACTACGTAAACGTTTTTTTTACCCATTAAGTCAGGTTATTTGAAACTTATGAAGTTAATAAACGACCATGTCTTTTCAACTTATGTAACTGAAAAGTCGAACTTAGCGAGGTGCTTAAGTTTACTTACTATTACCCACTATCATATTTGATCTAAAAGAAAGTTCATCAAAACAAATAAATTTTCGTGTAACCTTATTATTTTACTTGACCATTCCAACTTCTTGCTCTTATTGTGATGACGCAAGCGTAGATGTGACGTATTCCTTCCTAAATTTCCGTGAAACCCGCTGGTGCGGTCGTACTAATTTCAAGAGATGTACCAGAAGCGCTAGACGGAAGCGCCGAACGGAAGCGGCAGATGGAAGCGCTGGATAGCAGCACAATACGGCAGCAAAGAGAGAGTAGTGATAAATTTAGAGAATAATTATTAATTAAGCTAATAGATTAAATCCGAGGCAAAAAATAAATTAATTAGTCAGTCCAAATGATATAAAAGCAGCGTAGAATAGACTTAGCATCGGTGTGTTCTAACTCGTGTTCGCAGTGTTCAAGGTCAATGTTAAATTCCTTTATATCGAAGACGTTCGATTTCTTTATTTTATTTCTTATTAATAAACGAGTATCCATTTACTCTGAAACGATAATTCTTTCCCTGAATATTCCGT